GCTGGGAGCCGGATCAGCATCCTGCAGCTGAAGGTATGGCTGTTGCGTCTCGTCGCTTCTTGAGGCCAAGGGACTCCGTTTACTGCACAGGAGGGGGACAGGAGGGAGAGAGGGAGGGTTACAGGAGAGCTGCCTGCTCCAACGGACACCTCCGATAAAGGGACGGGGGGGGGAAAGCGCCGGCACGGTGGAAGAAATCAAGAACTGAGCCCAGAGCAATGCCCTCCCCAGTGGCCCGTGTGACTTCTGTGGACAGCACTGGAAGAATATCATCCACGGTACCTTATCACAAATCCAGTGAGCCCTAAGGTTAGCAAATTGCGCCTTGCAGCACCCTCCAGGACAGACATGCTACATGGATTATTTTACTGTCCGGGCAAACGGGTAAACTGAGGCACGGAGCGATGCAGCGATGGGCGATGCAACCCAGCTTTGGCTCCCCGTGCAGCATGCTCCAGCAAAGCCAGCTTCCTTGCCCTCTCCAGTTACAACCACTGATAAATCGCCAACACGAGCTGGCATGTTCCCAGCACCTTCAGGGTCCGCACCTGCAGAGCGGCCCCAAGAACGGTCGCTAGAGACCAGCGCCGGCACCGCCAGCACCCACACCTGCATCCATCATGCACGTCCCGCGGGGCCTGTGGAGCCAGGCGGCAAGGTCAAGCAGCCCCAGAGAACCGCGAGCGATGCCCCCATAAGCTTCTCCTCGCGGAGCAGAATCCCCGTCAGAGCGGCGTGCTGCGTTTCGGGGGCAAACAACCTCCCTCTTCCTCCGTGGAAGACAGACCAGACGTTAAACCACACCGCCAAGCCGTCATGAAAATCCGTCGGTGACCGTCAGGAGCTGAGGACCTGGAAATGAGCTCTTAAGCATCCAAGACCGAGACTCCAGCTGACAAGCACCAGATCAAAGGGAAAAGAGATCTCTGCTGAATTTAACCTGGAGGAGACCCAGCTATGGGGTGACCGGCAAACTCACCAAAGCCGTCCTGCATGGTCCCAGCCGTGTAGAAATCAAGCGGAGGTCAACTTGTCGTCATGAGAATCAGCATAATACGAATGGCTTGTTCCTTATATGGCCTGGGCAGGCAGGTATTATCATCTCCATTTTACAGATGGGGAAACTGAGGCACAAACAGCCTCCCAGGGCCACAGGGTCTCTTCTAGAGCTCAGGAGGCTCCCAGCCTTGTAGCAGAACCCCCCTTGCAGCGATGCTGCCAGGACTTGTGCAGCAAACGGGCTTTCAGCTGGC